ACAGCTTTATGGTGGATGGAGAAAATATTGAAGTTGTCAAGGATTTTATATTACTTGCCTCTACAATCAACACCAATGGAAGCAGCAGTCAAGACATCAGATGACATACTGCATTGGGCAAATCTGCTGCAAAGGACCTCTTTCAAGTGCTGAAGAGCAAAGATGTCTTCTTGAAGACTAAGGTGAGCCTAACCCAAGCCATGGTATTTTCAATCACCTTTTATGCATGTGAGAGCTGGACAATGAATAAGGAAGACCGAAGAAGAGTTGATGCTTTTGAGTTGTGGTGTTGGAGAAGAATGGTAAGAGTACCATGGTCTGCTAAAAAGGACTAACAAATCTGTCTTGGAGGAAGTGCAGCCAGAATGCTCCTTGGAAGAGAGGATGGCCAGACTTCATCTCACCTACTTTGGTCATGTTGTCAGAAGGAACTATTCCTTGGAGAAGGATATCACGCTCGGTAAAGTGGACGGTCAAAGAAGAAGAAGGCCCTCAACCAGATGGTTGCAACAATGGGCTCAGGTATAGCAAGGGTCATGAGGCTGGCACAGGACCAGGCAGTGTTTCGTTCTGCTATGCATAGCATCACTATGCATTGGAGACAACTCAAAACACCTAACAACAACAATACTTTTTCATTGTGATCTTCCCAAACATACTCTTATTGTTGTTGTATGCCGTCAAGTCCAGTCTAACTATAGTGACCCTACGTACAACAAAAAAAAACACTGCCCAGTCCTGAATCATCTTCATAATCTTTACTGTTTGAGCTCATTGCTACAGCTATGGTGTCAATCCATTTCATTGAAGGTCTTCCTCTTTTTCAGTGACCCTCTACTTTACCAAGCATTATGTTCTTTCTCAGGGACTAATCTACCCACCCACTGCTGTCAAGTCAGGTCTGACTCATAGTGACCTCTGCTTGGGTTTCTGAGGCAGTATCACTACAGAAGTAGTTTGCCCAACCTTCCTTCCAAGGAGTGGCTGGTGGGTTTGAACAGCCAGCCTCTGCTTAGCAGTCAAATGCCTTAGGCACTATGCCACCAGAGCTCCTTTCCCAGGGACTGGTCCCTCCTAATAACATGTCCAAAGTATGTGAGAAAAAGTCTTATCATCCTCTCTTTTAAGGAGCATTCTGGTTGTACTTCTTCCAAGACAGATGTGTTCATTCTTCTGGCAATTTATGGTATAGTCAATATTCTTCACCAACACTATAATTCAAAAGCATCAATTCTTCTTCTGTATTCCTTATTCACTGTCCAGCTTTCTTATGCATATGAAGTGAGTGCAGATACCATGGTATAAGTCAGGTGCATCTTAGTCCTCAAAGACACATCTTTGCAGATTTGCCCAATGCAATATGTCTTTTGATTTCTCCACTGTTACTTCCATGGGTGTTAATTGTGGATCCAAATAAAATGCATTCCTTGACAGTTTCAATACTTTCTCCATTTATCATGATCTTGCTTATGGGTCCAGTTGTGAGGATTTTTGTTTTCTTTATGTTGAAGTGTAATCCTTTAGCCATGCTAAAGGCTGCAGTCTTTTGTCTTCAGCAGTAAGTGCTTCAAGTCCTCTTCACTTTAGGCATGCAATGATGTGTCATCTGCATATTGAAGGTTCTTAATGAGTCTTCCTCCAATCCTATTGCCACATTCTTCTTCATATAGCCCAGCTTCTCTCATGATCTTCTCAGCATACAGACTAAGTATGGTGAAAGTTACATCCATGACACACACCTTTCCTGATTTTAAACCATGCAGTATCCCCTTGTTCTGTTCTATCATCTCTTAGCCTAAGTACAGTTTCTGCATGAGTACAAATTAAGTGTTCTGGAATTTCTAGTCTTCCCAATGTTATCCGTAATTTGTTATGATCCACACAGTCAAATGCCTTTTTATAGTAAATAAAACACAGGTAATATCTTTCTGGTGTTCTTTGCTTTCAGCCAAGATCCATCTAACATCAGCAATGGTATCCCTCATTCCATATTCTCTTCTGAATCTGGCTTGAATTTCTGGCAATTCTCTGCTGATGTACTACTGCAACCATTTTTGAATTATCTTCATCAAAATTTTACTTGTGTGTGATATTAATTTAATAAATTAATTGTTTGATAAATTCCACATTCTTTTGGATCGTCTTTCTTTAGAATGGGTGCAAATATGGATCTGCTTCAGTCAGTTGGCCAGGTAGCTGTCTTCCAAATTTCTTGGCTTAGACAAATGAACACTTCCAGTGTTGCATCCATTTGTTGAAACATCTCAATTCATATTCTGTCAATTCCTAGAGCCTTGTTTTTTGCCAATGGCATCAACATAACTTGGACTTCTTTCTTCACTACCATCACGTCTTGATCAATGTTACCTTCTGAAATGGCTGGACATTGACCAATTCTTTTTGGTACAGTGACTCTGTGTATTCCTTCCATCTTCCTTTGACACTTCCTGCGTCATTCAATCTTTTGCCCATGGATTCCTTCCATATTGTAACATGAGGCTTGAAATTTTTTCTCAGTTCTTTCAGCTTGAGAAATTCTGAGCATGTTCTTCCCTTTGTTTTTTTATAACTGCAAGTCTTTGCACATTTCTGTATAATTTAGGTTTATTGTGCTTCACTTTATTGTACTTTGCAGGTATTGCATTTTTTACAAATTAAAAATATGTGGCAACCCTGTGTTGAGCAAGTTTATCAGCACCATTTTTTTCCAACAGCATGTACTCACTTCTTGTCTGCATGTCACATTTGATCATTTCCACATTCAAATTTTTCATAATTCTAGGAGCTCTGGTGGCATACTGCCTAAGGCATTTGACTGCTAACCAGAAGGCTGGAGGTTCAAACCC